AAACAGTGGAATAGGCATTTGTAAAGGAATGGCCAGGGATAGAGAGAAGTGGACGAGCATCAAGGCTGGAACCCAACTGTAATACCAAAAGAAGAAAATAATCAGCTTGTCTGTGTGGCCATGTCGCATATGTTTTTCCACCAATCACTTCTAGTTCCATGGCCCTGAACTTCACAGTTGTTATTTTCCATTCCATGATCAAAATACACAAAAACAAAGCATAACTTACAAAAATAAGTGTCGGCTCATTTGTGCTAGGAGTAATTTCATAGACAAAGAGAATTTCCTTCATTGATGCTGCACACCCATAGATGTGTGTTACTGTCACTGCAGATTGCAGGGTTAACTCTTCATACAAGCGGCTCGATTCATCTTAAAATAACAAGCGGTATGCCACGGAGAGTGGAATTTTCTGCCGTTAAAATATGCGCACTAAAATAACATTTTATTAAAAATGTGTACCTTAACAGAACAGCAAATTTTAAACAACCAAAAATTCACATTTGTGAAATAACTTGTAAGAAACACCTGTCAAGAACTTGCAAACCAGCATGAATCAAGCCACAGACTGGGCAACGTCTTACCACCTACCTCCATCAGTTTTTGCCTGGCCACTTAGGAGGGGTTTATTTGTGTTCTCAAGGGGTAATCTGGATAATTTACATGATAGCTAACCGAGGCGAGACGAATCTTGTCCCACGGAATAAACGTGAGATACTCGGATAGAAGTTAGTGGCAGGAGTCTGCTGGATGAAGATGACACACTTTACTGAAATTGTAGGCACCACCACGTGAATTAATCGAGTATTTTAATTAAAAATTAAATGTTCTTGAAACGGAATAATTTAGCACGCGCAGACAATGAGGGGAAGCAGACCTAATCAAGAGGCCCCTTAATAGTACAATACAAGTTACACTCTGTAAGTGACTTAAATTATAATATGAATTATTTTAAAACAAACTCTCTAGAACTGGATTACCCATTTCATGGAAGTCCTCCACTACAAATATTTTTTTTTAGACAATATCATTTTGCATTTAACATTCTGTCAATACTAAACAATGGTCATAAATCTGTGTCGCCAACCTAGACAGAAATACAACAACTGTTGCCAATCTCTGCATATTATAGACATGCAAATACGTAGGTACTGTACAAAGACATTTTGGACACTTGTATTTTTGTGTATGATTTAAACACAACGACAATATCTGTAATTATACAGTATGAAATTATGGCATGATAAGTGGAAAAAAAAAAAGATGGGACACATTTTAAGGGCCTATCCTGTCATTTATATGGAACATCTGAGGAAAATCACAAACCCCTCAGCCATAACAGTCGGTCTCAGGGCCAGGATTTGAACCTTGGAACTCTTAAGGTACAATTTGGCTGCACATGACAGAGACAAGCGACCGAGACAGGCGACAGAGTTACAAGACCGAGACTGGTCGCTTCCTGTCTGCTCTCTGTACAATCATATGAAGTACAATTACGAGCGCGAGACAAAGCACCGGTGACCGCTCTCGGACCAGTAGTGTCTCGCGGTGGGCTCAGGCAGCACGTGTGTTGTTGAGTAAAGTAATCGCAGAAATTAAATTTACTGGTGACCAAGATGAGCAATTGGTAGAATTAGTAGCAGAAAACCGAC